TTGCTTGATACACCTGCCATTCATCAACATCTGTGCGAGGAATTTTCCTAGCTTGAGACGTTTCAGTTGCTGCCAATTGTTCATCCAGGTAGTTGGCATATTTCCTCAGATTATCAGCTAGTCTAAGCAAAGCATTGTACACTCCTAGTGATAAGCAAATGAGGAAATTTAATATGAATAAATGAGTGTCTATTAATAATGATGCATGTGTATATGTATTTAATAATTTATATATCATGGAATGACCAAAATTACACACCTTTCCATGCATCCCTTTTGGGGTAGCTGCAACTGCACATCTAGGCGAGTACATCAATATAATTCAAATTGTTGTACTGACGTTTTCTGTGTTTGGTTATTTCTGGTTTGTTGTAGCCTTGGAGGTGCTTGAACATCTCTGGAATCCCACACCCTCTGTCTTGCAAGGTCTTGTCATGTCCATCAATAGCCCACAATACATCAGCCAATGTGTTAATGAAGTTACATCCCTGATCAGTAACAGCATCTGCAGTCCACCCAAGCTCGTTAATCTCAAGACAACCTAAAATGTCATTCTTCAAGTCCAACTTGCGATTAGGCTTTTTCACTTCATACTTGTGTGGCAATGATTTCTGCTGGCGTTGCATGGCCATCATTATAGTGAAGGGATTTTGTGTGTGTGGAACCTTGTCTTTTGCATCTCTTGCACAAGCTGGTTCAGAGCTGTTCAGTGACAACAAATTCAACGAATTGACCCAAGCATACAACATCTGAGATGCGCTCTTGTGGACTGGTATTTACCTTTTCGTCACTCTTGCTGTGACCTATCCTGACTTCAACCTGCAACAGCCAATTGGTGGCATTGACTAAGGTGTTTATATTATGGAAACACATTCTGGTCACTTTTACACATGCACTTTATTCAACCCGCGACTCAATAAAATAGACGGTTTAGAGCTTTTTGACGACCCGCGACTTTTTACCCGCGACATTTTACCCGCGACTTTTTACCCGCGACACGCGACCATTAGTCAAACTCTTGCACAGTACATCGTGTACGTTTTTGTTGTAGAACTTCTGTTGCTCCAAATCGAATATGAAGTAAAATCAGGAGCATACTGTCACAGGCTAATTTTGTATTTTAATACCCTCTGGAAATACCAAGGCTTTGGTACCCCTATCTATCACAAAAAGTAACAA